TCGTCCCGAGTTTTTGTGTCGGCGGTCCCGAAGCCCTGTAAGGGCCCCGGGATGCCGAAACTGCAGGGGTGCTGAAACCAGCGCCTCGCTCGAGACATCCTCCAAATCTGCTCTCCAAGCGAAGGATGTTGGGACAGAAAACAGGCAAACCGCTTGAGGCATCCCCACAAAACGGCCGCGAACGGGACCGTGCAATACCCCTCGGCGGCTCCCCTTAGGGGTGCTGAAACCAGCGCCTCGCTCGAGACATCCTCACAATCTGCTATGTGTTGAGTAAGTCAGACAATGAGAAGGTCTGAGTCTGAGTAAGTCTGGGTATGAGTGAGTCTCAGCATGAGTAAGTCTGAGTATGAGCAAAGTCTGCGTATGAGTAGGTCTGAGTATGAGTAAGTTAATATGATCAGGTCTGATTATGAGTAAGTCTGTGTATGGGTAAGTGTGTGTATGAGTAAGTCTAGGTATGAGGAGGAGGACGATGAGGAGGAGGAGGAGGAGGAGGATGAGGAGAAGAAGAGGAAGGAGTAGGAGGCGTCCAAGTAATTATTCACTGCGTGGAGCTCCCCATATGGGCATATATTGGCATAGACCTGTCCGCCGTGAGAATCTAGGCGCAAATGTTTCTGAATATAAGCGGGCTTCAGTTGTGACGGTCTGGTCATGCATCTAACTTCGAACGGATTGGAGCGTGAATGAGTCTCGGTAGTACGAGCGCGTCTCTGCGCATGAGCCTGGGGCCTCCTGGGGCCTCCAGACACCTCCTGGGCCTTGCTGGGGCCTCCAGGAGCCTCTTGGGGCCTCCCGAGGCTTCTTGGGGCTTCGAGTGGCCTCCTGAGGCCTCCTGGAGCCTCGCCTAGCCTCCTGGAGCCTCCTGGGACCTCCGAGGAGGATTCGTGCCCCAGGGGAGGCCCAATCTATAGGAACAGACGTACATAAAACATTGCGGATTGGAGCCGCAGGAGAAGGGCAGTCTATAGGAGCACACGTAAAACACCAAGGACTCGTGCCCAGGGGAGGCCCAATCTATAGGAACGGACGTAAAACATTTAGGATTGTTTACAGAGGGGAAGGGCAATCTATAGAAACATACGTATAACTTCAAGGATTCGTGTCCAGGTGAGGCCCAATCTATAGGAGCATACGTAAAACACATGGGATTGGAGCCACTCCTGTTGCCGTCTGAGGCCTCCTGCTCCTGGGGCGTCTCGGGGCCTCCTGTTGTCTGGGCCTCCTGGCGCTTCCTGTTGCCTCCTGGGGCCTCCTGTGGCTTCCTGAGGCCTCCTGGAGCTTCCTGGGGCCTCTTGGAGCCTCTTGGGACATCCAGTGGCCTCTTGAATCTTCCTGTCGCCTCCTGATGCTTCCTGGGACCTCATTGGCCTCCTGGGGCCTCCTGAAGCCTGCTGGAGCCTCCTGTGGCATCATGGGGAGAATGTGTGCCCACGAGTCTGGCCACCCAGACAGGCAAGCCGATCGAGACATCCTCAACATTTGGCCCCCCTGGGGGGCGAACATGGGCGCCTCGCTCGAGACATCCTCCAAATCTGCTCCGAAAGCGGAGGATGTTGGGAACCAAAAGAGGCAAACCACTTGAGACAGTCCCGCCATTTGGGCGCGAACGGAGGCCGTGCAATACCCCTGGCGGCCCCCCCTTAGGAGTGCTAAAACCAGCAAGCCGCTGGAGACATCCTCATCATCTGCTCATCGTCATCGTCATCATCATCATCATCATCATCATCATCATCATCATCATCATCATCATCGTCGTCGTCATCGTCATCGTCATCGTCATCGTCATCATCATCATCCATCAATCACCATCACCACCATACTCACATCATACTCTCACCATACCATGGTCATCATCCTGACAATCATCATTGTCTAGTGCAGAGAGGGAGGTGGTCCGGCGCGGTCAGAGAACTACTCGACACGGGGTTCCCCATATGTGCATCTCATTCTGGTGGAAACTCCTGAGTGTGATGGGGCAGGAGAGAAAGAAAGAGAGAGAGAGAGAGAGAGGGGGAGAGGAGAAGGAGAAGGAAAGAGCATAATGTTGGTCAAAATATGAGGAAGGAGGAGAGGGAAGATCATATCCGCATCATTCTCTTAGTTCCCTCCTGAAATGAAGGCCGCGGGCGCTGGCAATCTGGCCGAAGCAATCTGGCCGAAGCACTCTGGAAAACATGTGTCAGCACTTGGCATCGTGCGGGTCGGCAGCTCGCGCTTGCTCACGCAACGAAAAGAATCAACAACAACAACGAGCACTGAGCAATCGGATCGAGACACCTCTTACAGGACTGTCCGCACTTGGCTTTGGGTCTCAGTGGGCTACAGCAGCTATTTCTCTTCCGGCAGGGCCATCCCGACCCAGGAGAGTGCAGGGGGCGGGGCCGTCCGCACTGGGCATCAGGCCGAAAAAGACAGACGACTGTTAATTGGAAGCAGCTGAGACGGAGGCGAATCGAATTGGTCGTGGTTGTGTTCGTTGTGGTACCAAATTGCAATGGCGCTTGTGCTGTTGGTGATTGTGCTGTTGGTGGTTGTGCTGGTGATGGTTGCGTTGCTTGTGCTGCTGGCGGTTGTGCTGGTGGCGGTTGTGCTGATTGTGCTGGTGGTGGTTGTTCTGCCAGTGGTTGGGCTGATGGTGATGGTGGCGCTGGCGATGGTTGCGTTGGTCGTGGTTGTGTTCGTTGTGGTACCAAATTGCAATGGCGCTTGTGCTGTTGGTGATTGTGCTGTTGGTGGTTGTGCTGGTGATGGTTGTGTTGGTTGTGCTGCTGGCGGTTGTGCTGGTGGCGGCTGTGCTGATTGTGCTGGCGGTGGTTGTTCTGCCAGTTTTTGAGCTCATGGTGATGGTGGCGCTGGTGATGGTTGCGTTGGTCGTGGTTGTGCTGGTCGTGGTACCATATTGCAATGGCGCTTGTGCTGTTGGTGATTGTAATGTTGGTGGTTGTGCTGGTGGTGGTTGTGATGGTAATGGTTGCGATAGTGTCCTGGTGACGGTCGTGCTGGTGGTGGTCGTGTTGGTGGTGGTTGTGCAGGTGGCGATTGTACTGGTGGTGGTACCATATTGCGCCGTCGCTTGTGCTGTTGGTGGTTGTGTTGTTGGTGATTGTGCTGTTGGGGGTTGTGCTGTTGGTGGTACCATATTGCGATGACGGTTGTGCTGTTGGTCATTGTGCTGTTGGTGGTTGTGCCGGTGATGGTTGTGGAGATCGTGCTGGTGGTCGTGCTGATGGTGGTCGTGGCCCCAGGCTCCGACGCCAAGCATCGTGCTAACCCTTCCCCCCCTCCCATGGGCGCCGTCCTCCAGGTAGATGTACACAATGGTCCTGCTCCTGCCCTGATCCGTCGTCGTCGTCGTCCTCGTCGTCCTCGTCATCGTCGTCGTCGTCGTTGTCATCGTCTTGTCGCCGTCGTTGTCGTGGTCGCCGTCGTTGTCGTCGTCGTCGTCGTCGTCGTGGTCGTGGTCGTGGTGGTCGTCGTCTTCCTCTTCCTCCTGCCCCTCCTCTTCCTCCTCCTCCTCCTCCGCCTGCTCCTCCTCCTCCTCCTCCTTCTCCTCCTCCTCCTCCTCCTCCTGCTACTCCTACTCCTCCCCTGCCTCGTCCTCCTCCTCCCCTGCCTCCTCCTCCTCCTCCTCCTCCTCCTCATCCTCCTCCCCCTCCTCCTGGTCCCCCTCAGCCATTTTGCGCTCGGGCGCGCCCCCTTTCGCCTGCAGGAGGCCCCGAGTGCACTGACACTTAGATTTCAGAGTGGCCACGAGTGTCGGAGCCAACGGATGGTTGCCAGCAATAGCAATGGCATTCGCAACACGACGTGGCGGTGCGGGCCGTGCAACGTCAAGAACGGAGCGAAGTACAAGTACTGCTGGAAGTGCTGGGGTGCACGCCCGACACACGCTCAAGGTAGAGGTCCAAGATGGAGACAACATGTCGCCGCACTTACCCGTCAGGGTGAGGGCCCCAGTGCACCAGCAGAGCGACTACATGAGGAACGTGTTGTGCAAGCTGACGCGGCCAAGGGGCTGCCCTCGCAGTCAGTGCGATGGCCAGGGCCGCCCGCACACAGGAAGTGCACTAAGAGCCAGATCGACGGCCACTGGAGCGAGCTCGGCGAGGCATACGAGAAGCACCTCAGCAGGTACCGCAGCTTCGAGGGCGACGGCTGGAGCAAGCGACAGGGCCACTTCGAGAAGGCCAACTACAAGCACTACAAGCAGAAGCCGTGCAGGCCCATGCCCTGCACCGCGGCACAGGAGGAGCCACTCATCCACGACATCGTCATGCCACTGTTCGCGGAGCGGGCACCTGGGCAGAAGGCCGAGGCAGGCTACGACACGGACGAGGAGGACGGGCTGCTGGAGTCTGAGGACGCCCCTCGGGAGGAGGCGGAAGGGGTACAGGACCGCTTCGCGGTCAGAGCGCCTCCCACCGAGGGCCAGCAGAGCCCCAACACTAGGAATACGATTCGCTGGCCGTTCATCGTGCACACGCTGCGAGACGGGCGAGTCACAGACATCGACGAGTGCGCCCAGAACTTCCTGGGCCTCATTGCCACGCTGCTGGGCCCCGCCAGCAGGAGGTACTGGAAGATGGCGCACCGAGTGGCCGCAGCGCAAGGGCGGCAGTGGGCCACCACGCACGGAGAGCGAGGAGCAGAGGGCGCGGGGGGCAAGGCGATCACCATGGCCTCGACCACCGCGCGGCAGGACGGCCTCGCCAAGGGAGCGCACCCGCTCGGCATCAGGATGGCGACACACGCCGACCACCTCGGCGTCGCCACCGCTGACGGCAGGAGGAGACGAGCCAGCGCCCACAGCAAGAGGGCCAGCAAGCGGGTAATACGTGTGGGGCGAGCCAGAGCCCCATGGCAGAAGGTGCGAGGGCCCGCAGGGACCTTCACCGCCACGGTGCAGAGGTTGGGTTGGAAGACGCTCGCGGCCCACAGCATCACCATCGGCGACGAGCTCTTAGACCTCGGGACGTTGCCGATCAGACACCTGAAGCAGTGCGTCAGCACGGCCACGGGGAACGGCCTCATGAGCGACTGGCTGCGCATACACGGCAAGAAGCACGGCTTGGACATCATCGTCGCGGAGCCCATCGCCGCGCTGCTCAAGAGGCCGCTGAACAAGAAGTGGACTCGGGAGTACCAGACACGGGCGCGCAACCTGTGGTGCGACGGAACCTGGCCGCAGCGGCGGGGCCTCGACAGGGGTGCCGCAGAGGACAGCATAAGCAAGGCCTGTCACGAGCACGAAGTGACGGACCGCCACAGGACGTACGTGTGCTCAGCCAGGCAGGATCATCGACGAAGAGTGGGAGGGCACCACATATGCCAGCGTGGTGCCATGGCGCGGCCTGGGGCGACGGAGAAGCAGTACGCGACTTCCGAGGCGCTCTGGGTCAGAGGGCTCGCAGCGGACTCATCGCTGGAGTACGACCTCTGGAGCCTGCCCTCCTCATCCACATGCGAAGTGGGGGGGTGGGTGGTGGTGGTGGTGGTGGTGGTGGTGGTGGTGGTGGTGGTGGTGGTGGTGGTGGTGGTGGTGGTGGTGGTGGTGGTGGTGGTGGTGGTTGGGGTGTGTGGTGTGTGTGTGTGTGTGTGGTGTGTGTGTGTGGTGTGTGTGTGTGTGTGTGTGTGTGTGTGTGTGTGTGTGTGTGTGTGTGTGTGTGTGGGGGGGGGGCCTTCGGCGGCCTCGTGCACGGGGTCATCTACACAGACGGCTGGGCAGTCGTGAAGCTCGACGGAGAGAACATGATGGAGTTTGAGTTGTTCGGGACACGGGGGGGGGGGTCGCAGCACGACCAGAGCTGCAAGAGCGAGCTGGCAGCGGTCCTTCAGGCGGTGCCCCCAGTGCAGGTCTACAGCGACCGCCAGACGGCGATCGACGGCGTCGCCAGAGTCGTGAAGATCGAAGGAGAGCGCATGATGGAGTTTGGGTTGTTCGGGACACTGGAGGGATCGCAGCGCGACCAGAGGATCTACAAGAGCGAGCCGGCAGCGGTCCTCCAGGCGGTGCCCCCAGTGCAGGGCTACAGCGACCGCCAGACGGTGATCGACGGCGTCGCCAGAGGCCCCGAGCGGGCCGCCAGAACTGACACGACCCACAAAGAGGTCGGGCAGGAATGCAGGCTGCTCGTGCAGGAAAACGGCGGGACAGGTGAGCAAGGGATAAGCCTTTGTAGAGTCCGAGCCCACGCCACTAGGGCCCAAAGAGCCATGATAGGGCCCCAGCAGTTCATTGGGGATAAAATAGATGACGCCGACGCAAAGCGTGGGGCGCAATCGCACCAGCACGAGGCCTACGGGGCCACGTATGTGCAGAGGTCCCAGGCAATCTCAGAATTTTTGGAATTCGCCGCGCACGTCGGGGTTCTCGGCCACGGGCGCGAGGTCACCTCCGAGGGCCCTGAGCCCTCTGGGGCCCAGGGCAGCCCCGCCCCCGCCCCGACGCCCAGTGAGAGAGTGGACAACCATGCTGGCATTCCACCGCCCTCACAGGGCCCTGTGAACCCCCTCTCCTTGGCCTCCCGCGGGGCTCGGAGTGTTGATCCAGCGGGCCCAAGCCGAAGGCCACCAGACGGCGCGCCTTCAAGCAGTAGTATTCGGTCGGAAGTGCGCAAGGTACGCCACAAGCCGATGGAGGGGTCTAGGGACCAGCGGTCCAGGGGGAACTCCTCGGGTCCTCGCTGGACGTTTGAACCGTTTGTGGCAGGGCAGCCACCCCACCACGAATCAGAGTATCGGAGGCCTCAGATTGCCCAGGACAGGCCTGGGATGAAGGGCACCTCCGTTTTCGTGCGTAGTCGCCTCGCCTTCGGCCGATTCGACTATCCGTTGCGAGCGAATCCTCAGCGAATCCTGGTCCCCCTCCTCCTCCTCCTCCTCCTCCTCCCCCTCCTCCTCCTCCTCCTCCACCTCTTCCTCCTCCTCCTGGTCCTCCTCCTCCTCCTCCTCCTCCTCCTCCTGGTCCTGCTCCTCCTCATCCTCCTCCTCCTCCTCTTGGTCCTCCTCCTCCTCCTCCTCCTCCTCCTCCTCTTCCTGCCTCCTCCTCCTCCGCCAAATCTGCTCCGAAAGCGAAACATGTTGGAGCAGAAAAAGGCAACACCGCCTGAGGCATCCCCACAAAAATCCGCGAAAGGGGCCGAGGGAAATACCCCCTCCGCCGCCCCCCTTAAGTGCTGAAACCAGCGAATCGCCTGAGACATCCTCGCAAGCTGCTCCGAAAACGAAACATGTTGGAAGAGAACATGGCCAAACCGCTTGAGACATCCCCACAACAATCCGCGAAAGCGGCCGATGGAAATCCCCCCCCGCCGCTCCCCTTACGAGTGCTGAAGCCACAGAATCGCCTGACACATCCTCAACATCAGTGTGTGTGTGAGTCATCCGATGAGTGGACCTGAGTGAGTGTAGTGAATGTATGAGTACAAGTACGAGTGAGTCTGAGTGATGAGTGAGTCTGAGTGATGAGTGAGTATGAGTGATGAGTGAGTATGAGTGATGAGTGATGAGTCTGAGTCATGACTGAGTCCCAGTGATGAGTGAGTCTGAGTGATGAGTGAGTCTGAGTGATGAGTGGGTCTGCGTGATGAGTGAGTCTGAGTGACTGACTGAGTCAGAGTGACGAGGGAGTCTGAGTGATGACTGAGTCTGAGTGGGTCTGAGTGAGAGGAGGTTAGGTGGTGTTCTGTTCTCTCTCTGTTCCTCCGGCGCGGTCCGCCAATAACAAGAACCCCATATCTTTGGACATGGGGAATAACGAGAACCTCATTCTTTGGATATGGGGAATGACAAGAACCCCATCTTAGGATATGGGGAAGAAGAGGAAGGAGAAGGTCCACGTAATCACAAGCAGCATAGGAAGAGGATAGGAGGCGTCCACGTAATCACAAGACCCCCCTCTTAGGATAGGGGGGAGCACGTGCAGCATCGTGAAAACCAGGACCAGAGCCCCAGACCCCGCCTCTCCGCTCCCTTTTTCGAGCCGCATCGATCTGTGATGGCCTCGGGGCCCGACAGTGGGTGAATCGGAGGTGGATAGACCTCCTACCCTGACACGTCGATTGAGGAATTTGCTTTTTTCAGTTCGCGAGAGGGCGTCGCGGCCGTCATTCTTGCGGGTCCAGGTCCGTCGGTTGCGGTCCCGGGCCGTTTTCACTGAGGGGAGGTTTGCTAAAGGGAGGTCTGTCCACCGCCGAGCGAAAGCGCCCGGTGCGAAAAACAGGCGACGCCAGGATCTCGGGATTCGAGTGCGGCCAGGGCTTGCGAGCTCAGCGGAGGGGGACGGGGCGGGCAAGGCGCAGTTCCCGATACCCCTGGAGCAGCGGCCGCGAGCGTGCTCTGAGGGAAGCCTTCGTTCCACGTGCAGCTCGCGCCCGGGCTGGCGTGCGGAAAAAGAGCCCAGCCGGGAGGAGGAGGAGGAGGAGGAGGAGGAGGAGGAGGAGGAGGAGGAGGAAATCAAGGCTCGACGGTCGAGAATCGGGGAGGAGGAGGGGGCATCGAGAATCGAGGAGGCCCGAGACTTTTTATAAGGTCTCTGGGGTTCCGCAGGGGTGCTGGGGTCCAGGAGGTCCGTTTCTTGGAGGAGGTGCATCTGCCTCGCGGCCGTCTCCGTTCCCGATGATCCGGGCGTTGCAATTTTTTCCCACTAAGGCTTTCGGGTCCCAGGACCAGCACAGATCGATCCAGCTCGACAAAAAAACACAGAAAAATGGTCTGGGGCTCAGGTAACGAGTCTTGCCAATATGTTCCCCATTGCGGATCTCTGGATTGCGCCTTCGGGAATTGGAAGTGGGGGACAGAGATGGTTGCAGATGAGGAGAGTGGAGGGGAGGGACGGGGCAGGGGAGAGGTCAGGGGAATGAGACTTGGATGGCGAGGAGGGGGGTGGAGAGGGCGAGGATGACAGCGAGGGGAAGGCGAAAAGGAGGAGTAGTAAGAGGAGGAGAAGAATGAGGAGGATGAGGGAATCGACGGGGAAGACGGTTGAGAAGCAGGAGGAGGGGGAGTGGAAGGTGGGAGAGAGGGGGTGAGGAGGGGGGGGGTAGATGTCAGCGTCAGCAGCGCCATGACAAGCAGGATGATGGGGAGTAGCAGGAGCTCCCAGTGTGTTGCGAGCGTCGCGGCCCCCGGAGCGAGGGCCCATCGCTGTCTTCTGATGATTCGTTGGTGAGGGTGTGGGGGGCGGTGGAAGGGGGTTCTCTCCTCCCTCTGCTCTCCCCGAGCTCCTCCCCCTCCCCCTTCTCCCGCTCCTCCCCCTCCTTGCCCGCCTCCTCGCCCCTCTCCTCTTCTCGTCGACGCCACCAGAGAAGGTGCTTCGACGACAGTGCGTGGTGCCATTTGGGCAGGCCGCGGGAAGCAGAAAAGCGGTATGTTATTCAGATTGCGTAGGAGTTCTACTGCGCATGGCGGGCGCTACTGAGACATTATTCTCCGTCGTTGCTAGAGCAGCACATCTTGCCTTGCGGCCTTCGTGTCACGCTGTGGTGCCAGTAGCGCTGTGGTGAGGTGGAGGAAGGAGGGAGAAAGAGGAGGAGGAGGAGGAGGAGGAGGAGGAGGAGGAGGAGGAAGAAGAGAAAGGAGTAGGGAGAGGAGGAAAAAGGGAGGAGGGAAAAGAGGCAGGAGGAGGCAGAGGAGGAGGAGGAGAAGGAGGAGGAGGAGGAGGAGGAGGGAGGAGGAGGAGGAAGGAGGAGGGAGAACATGATGATGATGATGATGATGATGATGATGATGATGATGATGAGGAGGATGAGGATGAGGATGAGGATGAGGATGAGGATTAGGATGAGGATGAGGATGAGGATGAGGATGAGGATGAGGATGAGGATGAGGATGAGGATGCTGATGATGATGCTGCTGATCGATGCTGATGCTGCTGCAGATGCCTGATACTGCTGCTGCTAGCAGATGATGATATGATGATGCTGATGCTGATGCTGATGATAGCTGCTACTGGCGAATAGCGGATGCAGAATGCTGCTGCTGCTGATGATGAAGATCAGATGCTTGATAGATGATGATGATGATGATGCAAGATGATGAAAATGATTGATGATGCTGGATGATGATGAAAATGATTGCTGATGAGGATGAGGATGAGGAATGATGATGATGATGATGAAAGGAGGAGGAGAGGAGTAAGGAGAGGAGAAGGGGAGAGGAGGATGAAGATTGAGACTGAGGATGAGGAATGAGGCTGATGAGATGAGGATGAGATAAGGATGAGGATGAGGATGAGGAGGATGCGGAGAGAGGAGGAGGAGGAACAGGAGGAGGAGGCGGCGGGATGAAGAGGCAGGAGAAGAGGCAAGAGGAGGAGGAGGAGAGGAGGAGCGGAGGAAGCGGAGGAAGGCGGAAGGAGGAAGGCGGAGGGAGAAGTTGAGGAGGAGGAGGAGGAAGGCAGGAGCAAGGAGGAGGGAGTTGGAGATGGCGGAGGAGGAGGAGGAGGAGGAGGAGGAGGAGGCACAGCCCCCCACCTCCACCGCCGAGCGGGCGCAGGGGGCGGGCGCAGCCCCCGGGGCGGCCCAGCGGGGCGCGATGCCTGGGCAGGAGGCGCCCGCCGCGCCCGCGGACGCCCCTGGCTCACGGGCGCGCGGAGGCTCGCGGCCGCCAGCGCGCCCTCCTCCTCCTTCGCCTCCTCCTCTTTCTCCTCCTTCTCCTCCTCCTCCTCCTCCTCCTCCTCCTCCTCCTTCGCCCTCTCCTCCTCCTCCTTCTCCTCCTCCTCCTCCTCCTCCTCCTCCTCATCCTTCGCCTCCTTCTCCTCCTTCGCATCCTCCTTCGCCTCCTCCTCCTCCTCCTCCTCCTCCTTCTCGTCCTCCTCCCCTTACAAAAAGTTCGACCCCGCCTCTCCCGGGGCGCGTTCTGCCCAGGAGTGTTTTGGGGGAGCCCATCCGTGGCCACGAGCCGCCAGCGCGCCCCGGGGAGGGGGAGCACGCCTGGGAGGGGGAAGGGGGGGAGGATCGTCGACGCAGAATCGAAGGAGAAACAACGCCATACAAACCAAAAGATGTGGCGCTCCGCGCGGATGTCTTGGATCTGTGCCGCCTGGGCCCCCCCGGCGGCGCCTCTGACGCCGCCCCTGGCGCGCTCCGCGCGCCAGGGAGGGGGTCCAGCGCAGATCCAAGAAATCCGCGCGGAGTGCCAAAAGTTTAGGTGTATGGCGTTTTGTTTGGAGGGGGGGACAGGAACTTTGGCTTAGCGGGTCGCTCCATCGGTTCTCGCTCACCACGCTTCGGTGCGACACGCTATCCACATCCCTGTCCCAAGGCGTCAGGTCCCGAGGCCTCCCACCCCGCGAAGCGGAGCTCCACGCTATCCACTCATAAGGCATTGCCTGTCGCCGGGGCCGCCGCCGCGAAACAGTAAGTAACATGCCCGACCATACACTGTCGAAGTTCCTCGCGGATGTCTCGGATCTGCGCTGAGCCCGCCCTGGCGGCTTCTCCGGCGCCGACAATGGCGCGCTCCGCGCGCCAGGGATGAGCCCACGGCAGATCCAATAAATCCGCGCGCACCTCCAAATGCGTATGTGTTTTGGCTCGCGCCCCTAACCGGTGGAGGGAAAGACGATGCCAATACCGCCGCCATTCCCTCGCGCTCGCCTTTTGCTTGGGGAGACTTCCTCCAGGTGGGTCCTCAAGTCACGGCAGGTTTCGCTTCATGAGTGATGGCCAGGGCGCACACCCCGGGGGGATTGGCGGTATCGGTGTTCTCTTGATGGTCCCCCAGAGGGAGGAGAAGGAGGAGGAGGAGGAGGTGAAGGAGGAGCAGGAGGAGGAGGAGGAGGAGGAGGTGGACCAGTGTAAACCCAATATGCATGGATGTTGCAATAAACCATCCCTCTAAGTTCCCTCCCCGTAAGTCCCTGCAAACATGTTTTTTCTTTTCGAGAAGTGCCCCATTGAAAGACAACCGTCTGAGACTCCTCGGCACTGCCAGAACACCATTCCTGGGGCTTCAGCGCCGCGAATCAACTGGTCTTTCTGTCCTGGCAATCATAAGCAGTGCCAGAACACCGTTCCTGGGATTTCAGCACCGCGGATCGACGTGACTGTTGCGCCCAGAAGACCCTGAGACGTGCCAGACCCACCATGCCTGGGACCATAAGCCATACGAAGCCTTGAAACCGTGGGATCCTTCACAACGAAGGTGCGCGGCGCGAAAGCGAGAGCCGCACTTGGAAGACGGCCCGCTCTCCGCCCGTGGAAACTGCCGCAAACTGCTCAGGAGGAAAAGAAACGCACAGACGCAGTTAATCTTCGATTCCCCAGAGAATATGGGAAACTATGGGAAGTGGGGGGGGGAGACAGAAGCCCAGAACATCTAGGAAAATATGGGGAATGTGTTTATTTGTGTGTATTCCTTTGTGTGTCCTGGGGCCCCTTCAAAACCGCCGCAGACTGCGCAAGCTCCGCAGGCTCGGCGAGCGTGCGCGGCGCGGGGGCGAGAGCCACACACTCCGTGAGAGCAGCCCGGCCGCCTCCGTCCGTGGAGCTCATTCTGCGAAGCTCAGGCCTCCGGATCACGAGCGGCGAAGATTTCTTGGGCGAAACGCCCGGCCCGCCGGGAGGAGGAGGGGGAGGAGGAGGAGGGTCAGGAGGAGGAGGAGGGTCAGGAGGAGGAGGAGGAGGAGGAGGAGGAGGAGGAGGGGCAGGAGCAGGAGGAGGAGGAGCATGAGGAGGAGGAGGAGAGGGTCAGGAGGAGGAGGCGGAGGGGGAGGAGGAGGAGGAGGAGGAGAGGAGGAGGAGGAGTGGAGGAGGAGGAGGAGGAGGGGAAGGAGGAGGAGGAGGAGGAGGAGGACGACGAGGAGGGTCAGCTGTTGATCAGGAACCGGCGATGGAGGAGGCGTGTCGGGCTCCCGAGCTCCTGGAGCGGGGCTCCCAGGGGTGTCGAGCGAGGGGGTGTCCCCTCGCGCCCGCACGGGGGAGGCGGGAGGGGGAGGGCGGGAGGCCGAGGGAGGAGGGGAGCATCGGGGGAGAGGAGAGACCGAGTAGGACCCCCTGGGATGCGGGCAGTACTTCTATCCATATCCAGAGCGTCGTGGACTTTTTGGGAAGAGGTGCCGCAACGCCGAGGCGCACTGGATATGGATAACATCAAGACTCTCGGGGCCAGAATTTTATCCATATCCAGTGCGTCTACGGTTTCTGGGGAAGAGAGCCCAGGAGTCCAAGATGCACTGGATGTGGATATAACTATTGCCCGCAAGGGAGGCCGAGGGAGGAGGGGAGCATCGGGGGAGAGGGGAGACCGAGGAGGACCCCGAGGGAGGAACGAGCGGCACACGGAGGCACGACTCGACGTGTCGGAGCTCCGCGCAGACCTCTGGGATCGGCGCTGGCCGTCGTGCCTTGCCTGCAGGCCGAGGGGCGAAGTCGAGACGCTGGTGAAGCATGCCACTCTGGGTTCGGAAGGGCCTCGCTGCTCCTTGGGTCATTCGCTGGTCGGGCACTCTTTCAGGCAGTGGCGAAGCGTCCTGGCGCGCCTTTCGCCCCACCACACAATGTTTTTTTATGAACCTTTTGTGGTTTCTACGCGACATGGTCTTACAACATTTCTGGCTGGGATTGTCTTTTACAGTATATCGGGTTTATGTTAGACTAACCTTGTTTGTGTTCTTAGAACATTCGTGGGTTCTCAGAAAATTTCGTGGTAGGCCTAGAGGACTGCCAGGACGGTCGGCCCCTGCTCAACCTTGGCGCCCCGCGTGAGCCCAGGCGCCTCTGAGGCCAACGTGGGCTTCGTCCCCCATCCAGCGTTCATCATGGCAGCGGCTTGACTCCATGGGGAGGCATCTCCTGCTGGCAGGAGGATTCCCCGTGGCCAGCTGCCTCTCCCCCAGGCGTTAGCCGGATCCAGAGCCAGTCTCATCTTACCAGCCTGGAACATATCCCTATCCCTATGCTGGGCACCTCCTCATCACGATGCCAATCTTAGGGACTCCCTTATTTTTGAGGGCGGATCCCTACGATTGCCATCGCCTTTTGGCGTGCCAATCTTAGGAATAGGGATACGTTCGAGGCTGGTAATCATCTCTAGGATCCTTTTCAAACAGAACACGGGACAGGAGAGGTCTTGGGGTGTCGGTGGGCTCTGGGGCGTTCCAGGGGGCCGCGGGCTCCTGTGAAGTATCCTCGCTCTTCGCTCTCCCATCCTCCTCCTCCTCCTCCTCCTCCTCCTCCTCCTCTCCTCCTCCTCCTCCTCCTCCTCCCCCTCCTCCCTCCCCCTCCTCTCCTCCTCCTCCTCCTCCTCCTCCTCCTCCTTCCTCCTCCCTCCTCCTCCTCCTCCCCTCCTCCTCCTCCTCCTCCTCCCCTCTCTCCTCCTCCTCTCCCCTCCCTTCCTCTTCCTCCCTCCCCCCCCCCCCCCCCCCCTTCCTGCATCCTTTCCGCGTCCACGGGGGACGAGCCAGCGGGAGTGGCCGCCTCTGCGCGCAGGTACACTGGAATGCCCGCGTCGAGCTCGCCTTCCCCCCTCCCTCCCCCTCCGCTTCTCCCCTGTCGGCGGCGAGCCAAGGGGGGAAGTGAGATGGGGCAGGCCTTCTCAGAAGGCGGCGAGGCTTTTCAGAAGCCCTCCAGCCTTCTGAGATGCCGTCCGTGGCTTCGCGGAAGGCCTGCAGGGCTTCTCAGACGGCGTGAGGGCCGCCGAGAAGCCCCGACGCATTTGTTTTGTGAAGACCTGCCCCCCTCTCACTTACCCCCTGGGCTTGCCGCCGACCCTGTCTCCCTCCTCCCCATCCGTTATCATTCCGCTCTCCCTCCTCGTCGGCGGAGGCGTGGGGTTTCTCTTGCAGGTTGAGGGTCGGGCCGTCGGGGCTGCAGGATGGGCGGTGGTGGTACCAAGAGGGAGGGGCAAGGTGCTGAGCTTCCTGGATGGGAGGAGCGGGTGGAATAGTGATGATGATGATGATGATGATGATGATGATGATGATGATGATGATGATGATGATGATGATGGTGATGATGGCGACAGTGTTGTTGATGATGATGGTGGTGGTGACGCTGGTGGCGACGACGGACGCGACGGTGATGATGATGCTGATGATGCTGATGATGATGATGATGATGATGATAATGATGCTGGTAGTGGTGATGATGCTGAGGATGAGGATGATGTTGTTGACGAGAATGATGATACTATGCTGATGCTGATGCTGATGCTGATGTTGAGTTCGGCGCCGGTGATGCTGATTCTGTTGATGATGATTACGCTGACAATGATGATGCTGGTAATGGTGATGGTGATGATGCTGACTGTGATGATGATGGTGACGGTGATGGTGATGTCGATAGTGATGGCGACATCGATGATTGTGATGACGATGATTATGTTGATGATTATACTTATGATGCTGATTATGATGCTGGTGCTGATGCTGCTGATAGTGATGACGACGAGGCTGCTTCTGATAATGATGCTGATGATGGTGATGATGATGATAATGATCATGCTGATGCTTTAGACGACGACGACGGCGATGATGCTGATGGTGATAAGTATTGCGATGCTGCTGATGCTGATGACGACGACGACGACGGTGAAGATCACGACCCGTTATGATGACAATGATGATGAGGATGGTGGTGATGATGATGATGCTGACGATTATGATGGTGATGCTGATGAGGAGGATTATGATGATGAAGATGATGGCGATGATGATGCTGATGATGATGACGATGATGCTGAGGATGCTGCTGCTGATGTTGATGCCGATGACGATGCCGATGCTGATGCTCATGTTCAGGCTGGTGCCGGTCCTGGTGCTGGTGCTGGGGCTGCTGATGATCACGATGAGGATGAGGATGAAGCTGATGATAAAACAGATACGTATGATGCTTGTGATGATGGTGCTGCTGATGATGATGTTGTTTTTGATGATGATGATGATGATGATGATGATGATGATGATGATGATGATGATGATGGTGATGGTGATGATGCTGATTGTGGTGATGATGTTGATGATGATGCTGTTACTGCTGCTGATGATGGAATGATGAGGAGGAGGAGCAGGAGGAGGTGGGGGAGGAAGAGGAGGGGGAGGATGGGGGACGAGGAAGAGGAGGCCGAGGAGGAGGAGGAGGAGGACGAGGAGGAGGAGGAGGAGGAGGAGGAGTGAGTGAGCGGGCCTTGTCCGAGCTCAGTGCTGGCCACGTCGGTGCGAAGCGCCCGCACGGCCGCATTGGATCGGCACGAACGAAATGGGCACGGAAAGAATGGGTACAATGCCCAACAGCAGTCCCTGTTCATCTTGGTCAGGACTCGCTGTCCGCGCCGCCGCGGCCTGTGTCCATTTGAGACAGAAGGCCGCCTGCCCAACAGCGGCCGCTGTTGGTTTGGGACATCATTTGTTGTTGGGCATTGTACCCATCTCGGGCGTCCAGATTGGACGTCTTCGAAAAGCAGACACCAAAATCCACGGCGGCGGCGTGGGTCTTCTCCAGCGCACGAGCCGGGGCGCGGCGGCAAGGCTCGCCGTGGTGCTCCAGACCGAGGCGTCCTCGGAGGCGCTCATAGGGTGTGGCCGCGTCTTTCCCTGACCTTTTCTTGACCTCTCCTTGCTGTCCTCAGCTGTGTCCGTGATGGGCTCCGCGCCCACGCGTACCACAAGACGGTGCGCCCCGACGGTGTGGGCGAAGGAGGTGCCAGCCAGGGGGAACGACGAGTCCGCGCGTGTGCCCCGACTGCTGCGAGCTGCCGCCGGATGTTGTCAGATGCTGCCAGGTTCTGCCGCCGACTGTCGCGGATCTGGGGCCTCCGGCTGCCGCGGCTTGCCGCCGATTGCGGGAGTTTGCCAGATGGTGCCGAATTCTCCCAGTGTTTTGTTGCATTTTTCCGCCGGCGAAAGCCTGCTCTTTTTGAGCCTTTGGCGCCAGGCTTCGAAGGCCACAGCTGGCGGAACGTTCGGGGCCAGGACATCTGCAGTACGAAGACTAATTTGTGTGCTCACACCGCCATCGCGGTGTGGCCCTGCCTCATAGTTCAGTGCGTCCCCAAGCCGCAACGCCGCCATGCCGCCCACCGCAAAGATGTTTACCGCATATATTGTCTTCCGCGGGTCGTGCCCACCGCGTGTTCACAGTGCCCGGCCACTTCCGGACAAGCGCTATGACGTACCAGCCGAGCGAGAACGTAGACGTCGCTGACATAGCTGGAATGATGCGTACCTCGCCGACCCTTCGCACATTGTGCGCTCGACAGTGTAAGGTTGTAAGCCAGCCTGAAGTGTGTTCCACCGCCGGGGGTTCCAGCCTTGGCCTCCCCAAGAAAGCGCCGCGTGAGGGCGAGCACGTATATTCCGACCCGAGGCAGTAGCGGGTCCAGTCAGCACGCTGACGGAACGCGTCGGTCCGATGCTCGAGAGGACGAGCAGCGGATGAGGTCGAAGACCGATTTCTGACCACATCCACCTCTGGATCCTCGATTCTACGATAGGCCCTCGGGGGTGGAAGTGGGTAGTTTTTCCTTCCCCTGGGGCGGGGAAACTGCCCACCTCCACCTCTGGAAACCGCTTTTCGCAAGGCACCTCGGGAAGTGGGTGTGGTCAGAAATCGGTCTCCTATGAGGGGATGGTCGATGCGCAGAAGAATGAGGAGTAGGAGGGAAAACATAAAATTCTGCGGAGTTGGGTGGAGATGGCGACAGGCAGGACGAGGGAGGGATGACGAGGATGTTGCCGTGGCCATGATGACGAAGACGTCGACGACGACGATAACAAATAACGATCACGACGACGACGGCGACGACGATGCTAATGATGATGCTGATGCTGATGCTGATACTGATGCTGATGCTGATGCTGATGCTGATGCTACTGATTATGGTCATGGTTATTATGATGATGGTGATGATTATTATTATTAGTATGATTGTGATGATGGTGATGACGACGATGATGATGATGGTGATGAGGATGATGACGATGATGCTGCTGCTGCTGCTGATGATGATGATGATGATGATGATGATGATGATGATGCTGATGATGATGATGATGATGATGATGATGATGATGATGATGATGATGATGATGATGATGATGCTGGTGACGAGGATGATGCTGATGATGAGGAGAAGGAGGAAAAGGAGGTGGACTTCCCCTAGACCTCTCGCGGGGCGCGGTGTCATCATGACCTCGAGCCATCCGTGGCCACGGGAGGCCTCCTGGAAGCCCCCAGTACACCCGCCAACGGCACGCCAAGAGGATCGAACGAGAGAGCCTCGACGGTGCGGAGGAGTGAGCGAGGGAGCCTCCTCCTTCTCCTCCTCCCCCACCTCCTCCTCCTCCTCCTCCTCCTCCTCCTCCCCCTCCTCCTCCTCCTCCTCCTCCCCCGCCTCATCCCCCCACGGGCTCCCCGCCTCTGGCCCCGCCTCTGGCCCTCCCGTCCCGCCAAAAGGATCGAACGAGAGAACCTCGCCTCTGAGGGTCTGACGACTCTTCTCCGCTCGATTTGTGGGGATCAGGCCAGCCGAATCGAGGTTCATCGTGGTATTTTCAGAGAGGTCGAGGCACAGCCAGATCTATCTGAGTAAGCCCCAAGATGCCCAGGCCAACCTGGAACAGATCGTGGAAGCTCCACCACGAGTCGAGGGACCAAAGCCATTCACTCCTCGACGACGGAGGGAGGAGCCCCCTCGGCAGCGGCGGAAGAGCCGACGGAGCGAGGCACCGCCGGCCTGATGTTCGGCCAGGGCGTCCCCGGCGGCGACGGGCAGAAGAAACTGTCTGGCCCGGCGGCGGCGGCCGCCGCGGCGCTGGGGGCACCACCGCCGCCCTGGGGGCCGGGGATGACGACCCAAGTTGAAAGAATTTACCGATACCGCTACCCTTCGACCCGTTCTCACTGTTTGGGGCCTCCTGGCAGGCCCTCGTCGCCTCGGCTGGATTCGCCTCGGGATCCTGGTCAGAACGTGCCCCCGGAGAGGTGCAGGGAGTGGCGGCCATTGCTGCCGCTTGGCTTCCTGAGCGACGACGCGATAGAGACTTCACTCACGCCTTCCTGTGCTTTGCCAGCAAGCTGCTGGCGGGCAGGTGGGATGCTTGCTTGAGCGGTGGAATTGGCGAGGTGTGTACCAGCTGTTGAATTCTTTCACAAAGAATTCGACTTGATCAAGCTGATGGTGTTCCGACCTACTTTAGCCTTGATCACCAGAAAGAATCTCGAGCACCAGAAAAGGGTCCGCAAACTCGAGGGTTTTCACGTGTCGGGCCCTGGGAGACACTCGTCCGACACTGTTTCGTCACTCTTTCGACACTTTTCTGGGTGCTCGAACTTATTTCTGGGGTGTGGTCCTGAAGTGCGATGGGAGCATCATAAGATCAAACCTGTGGTTTGTTGTGCGAGCCGCTTGCAGCAGGAAGGTCATGCGGGGCACACGCGCGCGCCCCCGCGCGAGAGGGTCAGACTTGCTTCGCAGCCGCGGGCCTTTCCACCTTCCCACGAAGTGTTGTGGAGGACGATCAATGGAGAGGAAGCATGGTGCCAAAAACTTCCCAGATGTCTAAAACATGTTTTAAACATACTTTGAACATGGTTAAAACACGTTTATAACATCGGTTCTACAGTCTAAACACATCTAAAATTCAAGGATCGGACTGTCAGGGTGTCCATTGCCTTGGCATCCACAAACCCTCTTAGAAAGTGAGGACACATACGCAGTCCAAAAACATGTGTATCCAGTCGGAAGTATCGGACTTCTGCGCGCGGGCTCGGGGAACTTCTGAGAGGACCATCCGGTATGAGCCGTTCTGTCAGATGTGACCATGTCGGCCACACGCGCGCGTTGAACATGTAAGCCGTTCCGCAATCATGGCTGACGACGACGACGATGACGGTGACAATGATGACGACGGCGATGACGATGACGATGGCGACGATGATGACGACGACGATGACAACGACAATGACGACGACGACGACGACGACGCGCGCGCTGAAAACGCAAAACGTGCAGCAATCGTGGCGCGTCCGCCAACACTACCAAGTCATACCATGCGGGCCACAGGCGCGCGTCTCCGCGCGCACAGCGAGCGCTTTCCATTAAGCGCCTGGCGTCTAAACGTTGCAAACATGAGCTCGTCGAACACTGCCCTGCTCCTCCTCCTCCTCCTCCTCCTCCTCCTCCTCCTCCTCCTCCTCCTCCTCCCCTCCCTGGCTCTGCGGGGCGTGCGTGGCATGCTGCCGGCCGCCTGGGCCTGCTGCTGCGCGCGGGGCGTTCCAAAAACGGCCCTGCCCTCGAGGACAGAAAGCGACGTCATCTCTTCCGCGGCGGAAGGCGGCGTAAGGTCGGCGGAAGTGCAACGAGGCCGCGTCCGCCGGCGGAAGCCGGCGGACGGCTGGCGGAAGGTGACGGACGTACAAAATGTGCCCCCAAGAGATGGAAACGCTTTTGATTTCAGGGTTTCCCAAAGCGCCCACATGTGATATCCAATCTGCTGTCAATGAATCGTATGACAGGAATCCCGAACTCGCGCGCGCATTGCCTCATCATCCCCAGCAGCACCATCGTTATCATCACTGTCATTAGCTGGGAGTCGTCAGTCGTCATCGTTACCTTCAACCTCGGCGAGCTGTCATTCTTGTCATCGCTATTGTCGTTGTCGTCGCCTTCGTCATCATCGCAACCACCGTCACCGTTACCGTCGTCGTCACCGTTACCGCCGCCGTCGTTTGTCGTCGTCGTCGCCGCCGCCGTCGTCGTCTTCGTCGTCGTCGTCGTCGTCGTCGTCTCCGACGCCGTCACCATCATCACTCGCCCGCCCGAAGTGCGGAAGTGCATGGCCAGGGTCCGCGCGTCGTCGCGCTTGTGAATCTGTGCGTGCAGGTCCCGATGAGTACGTTCGCTCGCGCCCTCCTCGAGCTTTGGCCAGCAGGTCGCGGGTGGGTGGCTGGGACGCCTGCTCGAGCAGGGGAGGCGGCCACGCGCGGATGCGGGGGAGTGCTCTCCCCTGCAACAAAAAAGTAGGCTCTGCCCTCCTGTGAGGCCGGGGTCGCGCTCCCACCCGTTTGTTTTGTATTCTCCCGCGCTGCCATTCATCTGAAGTGTCACCTGGCATTTTCCCCGGAGGCCCTCGATTAGCAGTCTTGGACGGAAAAATTTCCGAGCAGAAGGTCATCACAGAAGTGTGTGATGCCCTGATGCTGACCGTCTGGAGGTTCTCTCGGGGCCCTCCTTGGAGTGCGTGATGCCGCCTTGAGGGTTTCCTTCGGCCTCTGGTGCGCTCTTATAGCCGCTTGGAAGCCCTCATGTGGCATCTTCGGGCGGTATGATGTCGTCTTGGGGCCGCCATCGGCAGGCCTGAGACCGCCTTGGACCTTCTCAGGGGCTCTTGGACCGCCTTGATGCCCACAAGGAGGGCGCCGCGCACGATCGACACATGTGGTGCGGCCCGTCGGTAGTGATGAGAAGGGGGGGGCTTGTACGTTATATGGTGGCATTGTCCAAGGCCTTCGTAAGTGATAGCTACATAATGCAGATTTGGTCGGGGAGGGAGCGCCCACGCACCCACCCCTGACCTGCTGCGTCGCAGTCCTGCCGTGGTCTCAACATGCTTTGTGCGCCACACCCGCGGCTCCATCTGAAGCATCTTGGTGATCTGTCGGGGGCCTCTTGGCGTCGATTTGCAGGGTCCTGGGGCTCTCCGCGGGCACTCTGGGGCCATCAGCCTCTCCTGGAAGCGTCTCTGGAGGCCTCTTGCGCCGTCAGGGAGCCTCTTGCACCGTCATGGAGCTCTCTTGCGCCATCCTCGGCGGCCCCGAGGGGCTCCTCATGGGCAAGAGAGGATTCGCCGTGGGGGGGATAGTGCCGCTCGGGCCGCCGACGGTGAACCCCCCCCCCCCCCCCCGAAGTCTACATCTGGTGCCCGGGAAAACTACGGGGGCAGGAGTCTCACTCGCCTGGTGACGCCAAGGGGTCGGCGGAATTGCGAAAGCCCGTACGATTGCACCCCCTGGAGGAAATTTCGACGGTTGCATGTCTGTTTGGGCTTTTCAGTGCCGGTACTGTCTAAGTGGATCTAGGGCCACACGGACGACGACGACGCCAAACCCCATCGTTATGATTATGAGGGCCATTGTGACGAGTGTCGCGCCAGTTTGCGAAGACTGCTGGCGGCAGGCGCGTTGGCTGCAGTGCAGCATCATTTCCGATATACCGAATCCTGAATTTGATGAATGCGTTATTGTGCCCTCTTCTTGGCTAGCAGAGAGTATAAGGTCAGGTAGTTTTCAATCGCACGCCACCACTCTGTATGTGGCGGGGGGCCTGTCCTTAGCCAACTTATGGGGGCCCTCTGAGTCTCACTGATCCAGAATCTGTTAGCTGTTGCTGCCGCACAGTGAACTGTAGCGTTTGTCTTGGCGGAGAGAGCCCGTGCACAGTTTGCAGATGCATCGGTGTGCGGTCACCTCGCCCATCTCTGTGCCACTGGGAAGTCGCAGTTTGTTTCATTTGCCCATCGGTTTCTCGTCTCGCTTACTCAAAACCAGCCAGCCTGGCAGCTTTTCAGCTCTGGGTGTTCAGCAGCATAGCCTCTCCCTAGATGGTCGGGACGTCTGTGGGGCTGGTCATCGCCACTGTGCGCTGCGAAGCAGCATGGTCGTTGGTACACTTCTGCCTCGCATGTTTTTGTTTCTTCTTTTCTCGGGGCTGTATACACGTGCGGTTGGGTCGAAGGGGCCCGCCCGAGAAGCGAGTTTTGGGTAGTCGATGCTACCATGCCGCCACGTTCGTCCTGATGGAGATCGAGCGATTCCGTTCTCGTCACCTGCTGTATGGGTTAAGCAGACTCAGGGAAACGAAGAATGACATAAACATAAAAACTCTGAGGTCCGCGCGGATTTCTCGGATCCGCGCGGACTTCCGATTTTTGTTTATTTATGTCATTTTCCGTTTCCCTAAGATCGGCCAAACAACATCTGATGAATTGCGCAAGCGCGTCTGCGCAGAATCTGCAATCACGAGCGTCTGGGGTTGAATAGTTCTGTAGCCAGTTCAAGCTGTTGTTCCCCACTGCCTGCTGTCATATCGCAATGGCGCCTGCATCTGGATTCAAACTGGCAGGGGCAAGTGTGTGTGCATGGTCTGTGCGCAAGATGCTTTCACAAGACAGAACAGTTCATGAGCAAGTAGTCGTGGCCATGTCTTGTGTTTGCAGCATGACGGGTGGGCTGGCGGCTTTCTGGCCGAAGCCATAGTGCCTAGACATATCCGGTTTCGCTTATGACCAGGCCCATGGGAGGAGGGTGAAAAGGGTGGAGGAGGAAAGAGATCCAGCATTCTGATGGGATGCTGAGAATGAAGAGGAGGCCTTCGCTTCTCAGTTCCCCTTCGTATCATCCAGCGTGCTTTGGATACCGCAGGGCGCGCTTGAATCCTGGTCCGACTACGCAGGCAGCCCTGTCAGCCACGTGGCCAAGGCCAGCGGCATGTCAGGGTCAGTGTCGGGGCATCAACCGTGGAATCTGAAGAATGGTGAGGGGCGGCGGGCAAGAGAGCGAGAGAGAGCATACGATTCAAATCTGCAGTCGCGTTTCAGCAGTCGCGTTCCCAGCTGTCATGACTGCATGTGTCGCATGCGGTGGAAGCGGAGCTGCGTTGCGAAGGCGAGTCGCCGACCAATTTGTGCACTACACCGGCGTGAGATAGTTTGCAAGGGACGATATTTTGATGACCGTACGCGCGTCAAGGACAGTACCGCCAACTCTAACTGCAAGGCAGCTCGTGTTTGGATGGGGAACGTCCTCCGCGTGCCCGTTCGAGGCCGGTGCGCTTCGCCCAGACAACCCAAGACCCCAGAAGTACCCCAGAACGACTCTCGTTTGCATGTCCGTTTGGGGATTTCAACAGGACGCTGCCAAGCCACTTCCCTTAGCTGTGCACCCTCTTGGGTACGGCGCTCCAGGGCTTATGTTTGTTCGTCTCGCTCTGCGTCCTGGCCTCCATCCACCTTCCGTCTCACTGGCGCGGGCGGTGCATTTGGCCTCTTTGCGCTCTAGACATCTTTGCGTTGGGCCCCCCCCCATTCTCCAACCTCGGGGGCGGCAAAGAGGGGGGTGATGACTAGGGGTGTGTGGATACCATGGCGTGGGCCATGATATTTCCCCAGATTTCATGGCGCCTCTTCCTATCTCATTGCGTTCCTGGCCCTCCCGCTGGGCCTCGCACATGCCGCCGGTCATGATTTGCACCCCCCCCTCTTGGACACCCCCCTCTTGGCCGCTCCCGAGAACAACGACCCCGCCGAGATCCCGTTTCAAGCCTCATGATTGTGCATCCCCTTAGACGACGGCAGGCTTGGCCATCACCGTCCAAGACCCCGGCTGAATCTGCAAAGCACCCTCATGGATGCATGCGTATGTGCCCGCTCGGGGGCACTGCCCTCGGTCTTCATCATGGCCCAGGGCAACACCAAGCCGTTCAGAACGTCACTCGTGTAATGAATGTGACACGAAAGAGCGTCTGCGGATTACGTTAGCCACGTTTCCTTCCTCGGGTGTCCTGTCTGCGGCCTTTTCCGTCGTAGGGTTGAGTTGCTCCCATTCCCGAGGAATGTATGGGTGCATTCTTTGATGCGTTTACGAATCCGATTGCTTCGCCCTCTGCGAGCCTCTGCCGTGGTCCTTCCTAGACACATCGGCACAGACCGGCGCCGTATCCTGGTCTCTATTGGTCTGACGATGGTTTCCCCACCCGACAGGTTGTTATTAAATTTGGTATCTCTCTCTATATATACACATGTATATATATATATATATATATAACATCCAAAAAAACACAAAACAAGCTTCCGTCGCACCTCGCGCACCCTGCAAACCGCGGCCGCCAAGCCCACACCGAGCCGGTTCTCCCTGCGTATCCCGCCTCGTGCCTTCGACGAATGACGGCCGCAGGCTGCGCCCGCCAGGCCTCAAGGGGCCCAGTGCTTGCTGGGTATCCTGCCTCGCGTTCTCCGGTGGGGTCGCTCGAAGCAGCATAATCATTGGTCGTTGGGGAGGTGCTTTCAGGAAGTAGTGATGGTAGTTGTGATGGGGATCGTGCCCTTTCAGGCCGCTAGCTTCATCCGCTTCTCGCTTCACTACGATGAGGAGACGAGCATGCGCGTCGTGGAGCCTCGGCGTTTCGTGGTCGACTTCCCACCGCCACGGTGTGTGCGCGACCAGGCGAGCTGATTTCGGGCAGGGAGGAAAGGAGGGGAGGGGAGAGGAAGGGGGAGCATAGGGGAGCAGGCGATGACAGCGGGAGTGGAAGAGCGGAGGGGGGGCGCGTCGAAGAGTGGTGGTGGGCCACCACAGACCTGTGATGTTCGATGCTCGGTGTCAGGTTCCGTGACGTTTCAAAACATGTTGCCGTGGCAATGTTTTGGCACGTTTGCCCAGCAGCAGACATTACAACACATGCCGCGAGCAGGTGCTCGTGATTGGGCGATTTGTGCAGCCCGCACCTGTAACGACGGCCAAGCAGAACATGCAAAGACTAACTGCTGCGATCTGATGACATGAGCCTCTAAGCGCGAGGCTTGCGCTCTGGATGACACTGGAGGCTCGAAGTGTGTAAAGCCCGAGCCAGGAAGTCGTGCGTCGTTGTCGCGCTCAACTCGTGCTCTCAAGGGTGTGTGCGAGCTGTGCTGGGCGTGAACCGCCGGCGTTAATTGTTTATCTTGCTGATTCGGCCGCGCAGAAGTTCTGGAGGGCGGGGCGTTGTGCTTTCCTGTTGTCGCCGCCTTCCAGTCCCGTGATGGCGAGACGTCGTGGTGTCATCACTTCAGGTTGTTCTGAGGTTCGCAGTGCAGTGGTGCTTATGTGCCGTTGTGTCGTCGTACTGTGGTGTCGTGACGTCGAGGTTCTGTGATGTCGGAACGTCACTGGGTCGTGTTTGTCGTGGAGTCGCAGTGTCGATGTGTCGGGGTGTTGTGTCGGGACGTTGGCATGTCATGGTGCAGCGAATGGGGGTCGCGGTGTCAAGGTGTCGCGGTGTATTCGAATCCAGGTGTCATGGCAGTGTGCGTAGCGTTTGTTTGACTGCATTTTGAACAAATTCCGGCTGCCATGTGAAGTAAATTGCATTTGAGTTGTTGCTTGTTGTCTTTCCGCTTGGGACCGCGACTTGCTTGCATCTGCAGTCGAGTTCCACCCAATTCGACTGGAATGCACTCGTATCGTATTTTCACAGGTGGGTTCACGAAATCAATCGCGAGGTATGATGAACAGATCCCGACATTTCAATGTGTACCGCCTGCGTTCCAGCAGGAACAGCCATATGGTATTCATGCTATTATATGGGAGGCGTTGCAACTTTGTGGGTCAAAAGTGCTTGTGTTAAGCAACTCTACTTCCGATTTGGGTATAGCTGGCGAGCTGCACCTGCCGCGCTACGTGAAGCTTGACTGCGTTTATGGCTCTTGGAAACAATGCTTCATGCTTCGCCATGACCGCGCTCAAGGGATCGTTTTTTTAACATGGCCTGGTTGTATACCGACGACATCATTGTGACCAGACGCCCAGATGCCACTGCCCCCTAGCTCTGGTGGGCCCAGCACTTGCGCAGCGCTAGTTGCAAGATGGAGGTTGATGGCGTTTCTCACCACGCAGAGGTTGCGCGACATTCAGAGGCCGATGGGCCCGCCATGCCAAATATCATCGGTCTCTCTTCTTTTTCGAGTGGGGATTGTAGTGTATTTTAATAGAATACATGTTGAGCGAGAGGAAACAAGATAGGTAAGTACAGGTGGGTATCTGTTTGATCCTCTCGGTGCAGAGTCCGCCAGCCAACGTGGCGCAGTGTGCGCATGAGCAAACGTAGCATACGCAGGATGTAGGAGGGGTTCACATTTTGATATTGGCCGTTCGGTGATCAAGTTTCGCGCTTCAGGCAAAGCAGTTCACAATATTGTAGAACTGAGGGGTCAATATTGTTATGTTTTGTTTCGGCAACTGCTTATTGCTCTTCCTACGTTGGTTCGGTTCTGTCTGATCTGTGAGGGGGCCGTGTAGTACGTGACATTGAGTTGCAGTGGAGTTTGCGATGGTAGCGCGGGGTGCTTGACCACATAGCTAAATTACCGCAGCGCCGTTTTATCTCTGCATGCCGCTCTTGCAGATTTTGAAATTGCAAGAATCAATCGCTGCGCAAGGGACGCATGCGCAGTGTGATTGTAATATGGCGCCGGGCGTCAGTCTTTGAGGACCTTGTGATTGACGATTTCGCACTTGCTGTGCAGGCTGTGCCTCTGAACGCGGGGGCTGCTGAAAAGGACAAACGTGCGCAGCTTGTTTGGATGATTGTTGTGGTTTGTCAGAGAGGTGGTCTTATTGCCGAGCGGCATCATATTAGGAGGAGGAGGAGGAGGAGGAGGAAGAGGAGGAGGAGGAAGATGAGGCCTCTTGGGGCCTCTTGGCCTCCGCCTGCGGGCTTCCTAGGGGCCTCTTCAGGGCCTCGTGGGGCCTCGTGGGGGCCTCTGGGGGCCTCCTGGTCTTCGAAGATTGTCTTTACGGCCTCACTGGCCCGTATTAAGGCTTTCCTGCGAAGGTTTCGGCCCGTTTTGGAAGGTTTCTGGGGCCGTCTTGGGTGTCTTGGGGCCATGTTGGCCCGTCTTGGGGGCCTTCTGCGGGCTTCTGGAGCCGTCTTCGGGCTATCTTGACGGCCTTTGGGGCCGTCTCGGGCCGTCGGAAACCCGAACGGACGAAAACGCGAAAGCAGTTGAAACACGTAAGTAAACTAATGATTTTGGGTCTCTTCGGAGAGCCTCTGGGAGCTCCCTTGTATAGTGCCTTCTTGGGAGCCTATTTGGTCGTCCAGGGGGCCTCCTGGGCCGTCGTGGGGCCTTCTTGGGGTCCTCGTGGATCTCTTAGGAACATCTTGGACGTCTTGGATGCGTCTTGGGACCGACTTGGAGGTTATATTTGGGCATACTCGGCCATCTTGGCAATCCTGGAGGCGATTCGGATGGGTTTTCTGTTACTTCTGGTGGGCTGACAGTATGAACGGAGACCCCATTGGGAGCTGTTTGGAATTTTCAAAGCCGTTGTCAACTGGCACACCAAGAACCCTTCTTGCAAGCAGCTGCGGCGGATTTGGTGGTTTTCGGTCCATCCCCCCACCGTGTTTTGGGTTGTAGGTCTGACGCCTCTTGCATCTCTTGGGAGACTTCGAATCCACTTGGAGGCAGCTGTGGGGTGTCTTGGGGTCTTTTGGGGGCCTCTTGCTGCCTCCTTTGGGACTCCTGCGGGCCTCCTGGGACTTCTCGGAGCGGAGGGCTCGGAATGTCTGTGCGAGTTCCCCCTCGTGGGGCTCTCTTGGGGGCCGATTCGGCCGTCTTGGGTCCTTCTCTGGGGCCTCTCAGACCGTCGCGAGGTCCTCTTGGGTCGTCTTGGAGCGTTGGAAGACCGAAAAGGCGAGAACGCGAAAGGGAGAGAGAGAGAGAGAGAGCGAAAGAGAGAGAAGCCGTGCACGTCAGACGTGCATTGGCAAAAGGGGGTGAAACAACAGCGACCAGTGATGCGAAGCCTCCGGCGTCGCCGGCCGGCTCCATGCACAGGGAAGGCTTACAAATTTCGTCATGCATACCCCCCACTCGCCAAAATTGCCTTCAAGGTGGACGACCCGGGAGAGCAACCGCAGCAGGGAGGCAGAGGAGGGAGAGAACGCGAAAAGGTTACAAAAGCGTCAAACAAATCAGCGCGTTTGTATCTCTCTGGTTCCTCTTGGCGCGTCCGGGAGCCTCTTTGGGTCGTGAAGTGGCAATTTTTGGGCACCTTAGGGTCCTCTTGGGCCACCTCGGAGCCCTCTTGGAGCTTCTGGGGGTTGCTTCGGGGCCCTCTTGGTCCGTATTCGGGAATAAGGCTTCCAGAACAATCACGTGACAAGCACGCGGGACGGCCCAAGAACGTCCAGAACTCGGGGTTGTAGGACTTGTTAGGCGCATTACAACATGTCACGCGGAGGTCTGCGAGTGACTCGAGGGCACTCTAATTCATGCCTCGAGGCATTGTGGCAGATCTATGGGCTACATGAACATAGTCGAATGTGTGGGGGTTTTGTGGACATAGTGAAAATGTACGTGGCTCGACATGCACATCTCGAGTTATTGCAGACACCAGTAACCTTCCCCCAACTGAACACATGTTTAGTGCCTGGCGATCCTGCTTGATCCAGATACAAGGATGTGGGTTGCGAGTGGTTGTGTTTTGAGCGCACGTGTGCTCTTTCGTGGTTCAAGAGGTGACTGGAACTGGCTTGGTATTGACACATGTTTTAGACGCTTCGTGTACCCCCCTCCCAGCCCATCCAGAAACGATACCCAGGCGATTTGCCCTGATTAGAGATGTGGACGAGCATGCCGTGGAATAGAGGGCTGGGGAAGCCGTGATACCCCAAGAGGGGGAGGATACAGGAGGAATCGGGGGAGGGGGAGCAGGGAGAAGGAAGGAAAAGGAACAGGCAGATGAGCAAGGGGAGGAGGAGGAGGAGGAGGAGGAGGAGGAGGAGGAAGAAGAGGAGGAGGAGACAGAGGAGGAGGAGGAGGAGGAGGAGGAGGAGGAGGAGGAGGCCAGAGGCCTCTTGAATGCCTCCCAGAGGCTCTTCGGATGTCTCTTGAGAGCTTCTGGGAGTCCTCTTGGGGCTTGGCGTCCCCTTGGGGCGTCTCGAGGTCTTGAGGGCCTCTTGGCGGTCCCCCCAGGGGCCTCTTGGAGCGTCTTGGGTTCCTCGGGGAGTCTCTTCGGGCATCTTGGGGGTCTCTTAGGAGCCTCTTGGGGGTCTCTTGGGGGCCTCTTGGGGCCTCCCGGGCGCCTCTTGGGGCCCTCATGGGGCACTCTTGGGAGCGTTGGGAGCCATCTGGGGGCCATTTCGGAGGAGTTCGATCAAAGAAGGAGGGATACTAAAGTAGGGTCCCCCCCGAGGAGGCCAAAATGGACCCAACACCTGAGTAACATCAATGAGTTTGGCTTCCTCGTCGAGGCCGACACAACCTTTGTTCTTCTCGCGGCCCACCCCCGTCCAGGTCCAGGGGGAGGGGTAGAGGGAGGGGTCAAGACACCCTCCCCGCCCGCAAGCCGTCTCGCTCACTCCCACCCGCCCTCCTAACACATAAGTAGCATCCGAGACGCAGCGTGTTCAGCGGAAGTCTTTGGATGGACAGCTAATGGGAACCAAACCAGACCCCATGTGCGCAACGCTGGGGCGAGGTGCGTCAGGCGTGCCAGGCGCGCCACGCGCACCAGGTGCGCTTGGCACCCCATGTGGCCCAAGTGTGCCAGGCACGCCTGGTGCGCCAGATGCGCTCCACGTGAGCCATGTGTGCTGAATGTTCCAGCCGCGCCAGGTGCGTTCGGGGCACGCGCAGAGTGTGCCAGGCGCGCTCGCGCAGGTGACAGCACACATCGGGTCACATGTCGGCTCCCACCTCCCATGTCGAAACCCAGCGCGCAATCGCGACGGGGTGGCTAACATAGTGTCTGGTGAGCCTCCTTAAAGCAGGCAATATGCCAGCACCCCCGCCGTCCCAGTCAAAAACACATGCGCAGTGATCGCGGGGTGTCCGCGCATGATTCAGATTTTGTCTCGAAGTGCATTTTGTATAGTGTTTTGACAGGGGCGCTGGCCATGCGCACAGCAGGCAATATGCGGGCATCCCCGCCGTCACTGTCAGAAAACAGGAAGTGCTCGCGCCCTCCCGATCATGACCCAAGATTTTGCCCCAAAGTGGACTTCACATCATTTTTTGACAGGGATGGCGGTGGGGGTGTTGTCATTGCTCCTGGTTGGCTGCCGGCCGCCTGGGGGAGGGGGTGTTCAGTAATAGGGAACAGTGATCAAAACACCCTCCCCGCCCGCAACCTGTATCGCTCACTCCCAGTCGCCCTCCCAACACGTAAGCAGCACCCGAGTCTCAGCATGTTCAGCGGTAGTCGCTGGAGAGACAGCTACGGGAAACCAAAGCAAACCCATGTAAGCGACGCAGGGGCGAGGTGCGCCACGCTTGCCACGCGCGCCACACGCGCCAGGTGCGCCAGGCACCCCTGTGGACCATGAGTGCCGGGCACGCCTCGCGCGCCGGATGCGCCACGTGCCCAATGTGCGCCATGTGTGCCGCATGGTCCAGCCGCGCACGTGCAGAGTGTGCCAGGTGCGCTCGCGCAGGTGACAGCACACATCGGGTAACATGTCGGCCCCACCCCCCCATGTCGAAAGCCAAAGCACAATCGCGGCGGGCATGCCATCATGGTGCCTGGTGGGCTTGCACACAGCAGGCAATGGGCCAGCAACTCCGCCGTCCTTGTCAAACCCCAATGGACTATGATCGCGGGTTGGCCGCGCACAATTCAGATTCAGCCGCGAAGTGTATGTTGTAATGATTTTTCAGGGATGCTGGCCGTGCGCGCAGCAGGCAATATGGTAACACCCCCGCCGTCCCTGTCACGAAAACAATGCACAGAGTTCGCGGAGCCCACGAGCATGACCCACGATTTTGCCCCAAAGTGCTTTGTATAGTTTTTGACGGGGGTAGTGGTGGATGTGTTGTCATTGTTCCTGGTTGGCTCATGGTTGTTGTGAGAGGGGGTACTTATTCATATGGAACAGGGATGACATTCTTCTCCGAAGGGGGAAAATGGGGCTTGGAAGAGGAACCTCTCTAAACCACTCACGCACTGAAGGGATGATGGGATTTCAGTGTGGGGAAGTATGCTGGATCGCATGATACCGTAGACGCGCTAACGGTGTGCTAGCTAACGACGACGTAGGAAAAAACATGTGTAGGAAGGCGTGGCTCGGGGCCAAACCAAATGTAGGAACGCGTGGTTCGCGCTTTCCTACAACTCGGCCGTTTTCGTTCGGCACATTTGCATATTTGATTTGTAGGAAACGGTGTTTCGTGATTTCTTAGATTTTGTTCTGCGCGAGCTCGGTGTCACACATATCAGATTACTAACATTGTCGTTAGCGCGGCCTTGGTGATGGTGATCTACTGTCCGCGTGTTTACTTGTGGGACAGTTGTGGCTTCCACACATGATGCAGCAATTGCGCGGTATCACATAGGCACGCCAAGGTGTCGGCATACATTCGATGATTCTGGTATTAATGTACTGTGCCGTGGGTCTACATTACGGGCTAAGCCAAGTGTGAAGGATCAAGTCTGAGGGAACGTGATAAATATGCTCTCTGTATTCGATACAAGCTCTTTTCGGGTGGGCTGACTGGGTCGTACGATATTGTCGATCTGATTTGCTATGCTAGAGTTTGCGAATGAAGCCGACGACACCTATGTAACGGAGCTGTGGTGGGGATGAACGTTTTCAGCGTAATCGTCATGTCGTGAAAAGGTGGCGACGGAGAACCATTCCAGCGCTCCAGACAGGGACCATACTTTGGCATGGATGCGCGATGTGGTTTCTACCTGGTGCCGGTAATGCCGAAGAAAATCGCCCTCTGATGTAAGCCCCAACCGTTGACAGATAGGACGGTCGATTGAACTAGTGGCACTGGCCACTAGCAGCCAATGATGTAATGATCGTGGAGACGGACCGGAGATGCAGGTGCATATCAACCTGGTGCGGGTAACATTCCAGGCAGCGCAACGCTCGTTGAACGATGAGGGGGCGTCGGTGGTAAGTCTTCGGGCTGCGGCCAGACGGTCCGTTGAGGCAGCCCCTGCTGGCCTCCGCAGGCCCCCGAGCAGCTGGGGGTGGTCTCAACGCCCCGGCGCGGAACGCCTCTGCGGCGCCTTTGGAGGTGGCGCCGGGGTGTTGAGACCGCCCCAAACTGCTCGGGGGGCGTGTTGAGGCAAGCCTGGACCCTCGGCGAGGCTGTCTGCGCGCAGCCCAAAGCCTTGCCGTGTGTGTGTGTGTGTGTGTGCGCGTGTGTGTGCTGTTTTGCTCCTGACCTCTACTCACACTCCTCAGACATGCGATGTCCCAATTTTTTCACCGCGAGGCCCCCGGAAGTCCGGGTCGTTTCCCTCGCGCCGGTCTTTCATCGTACGTCGCTTTTGTTGACAGTCCTGGGGCCCCCTGCGGTCGAAAGCGGCGAAACCTCCCGTCGCGGTTTTCCACGATGCGACCATGCTTGGATCCTCCTCCTTGGCCGTCCTCCTCCCTGGCCGTCCTCCCCCCGCGAGGGGCGGCAGAAGCGCCACAGCGCCCTCTTCTCGCTGAGGGTCATCCGCGAGGAGAGCCTGGCGCGGGATCCCAACATGCAGGGCCCGGTGGCCTCCCCAGCAAGGAGGGGGAGGAGGAGGAGGAGGAGGAGGAGGAGGAGGAGGAGGAGGAGGAGGAGGAGGAGGAGGAGGGAGGAGCCACTGCGCGCTCGCATCAATTCCTGTCGTTGCCGACGCTGCGAGTCGATTGCCGAAGGTTTGCCCAAGGAAAGGAAGGGGCTTCTGGGGGAACGCCCGCCTGCCAAGGTGGCGAACCACCTCCGCTACAAGTCCACGGCAGAGAGGCGACTGGTGCCAGGCGCGGACGAGTACGTGGAGTTCGAGCTGACCTCGCGCGAGCACGAGGCCGCCTGTGCTGCCCTTTTGCAGAGACGCGCGCGTGTTCGCGAGGCCAGGCGCACGTGAATACGAGAATGGGGCACGCGAGTCGAGGACGGACAATAGGGGAACACAAAGTGACAGAAACATAAAAACTCTGAGGTCCGCTCGGATTTCTCGGATCGGTGCTGGACCTCCCTCCCTGGCGCGCGGAGCGCGCCGGGGGCGGCGCCGGAGGCGCCGCCAGGGGGGTCCAGCGCGGATCCGAGAAATCCGCGCGGACCTCCGAGTTTTTATGTTTATGTCACATTTTGTTCCCCTATTGTCCGTCCTCCATGCATTGTCAGAGGTCCGCGCGGATCTCTTGGCTCGGCGCCGGACCCCCGGCGTGCGGAGCGCTCCAGGGGGCGGCGCCGGAGGCGCCGCCGGGGGGGGCCCATGCGCCGACCCAGGAAATCCGCGCGGAGCTCCTCCTTCCCCTCCTCCTCCTCCTCCTCCTCCTCCTCCTCCTCCTCCTCCTCCCCTCCTCCTCCTCTTCCTCCTCCTCCTCCTCCTCCTCCTCCTCCCTCCTCCTCCTCCCCCTCCTCCTCCGCCTCCTCCTCCTCCTCCTCCTCCTGCTCCTCCTCCTCCTCCTCCTCCTCCCTCCTCCTCCTCCTCCTCCTCCTCCTCCTCCTCCTCCTCCCCCTCCCCCTCCCCGTCCCGTCCTCCTCCTCCTCCTCCCTTCTCCTCCTCCTCCTCCTCCTCCTCCTCCTCCTCCTCCTCCTCATGGTCGGATATGGCCAGGACCCCTGGTAAGGGGACCTGCTTAGTGGTAGGGCCCCTGAGCTTTCGAATTGGCCAGAAGCACTAAACCAGGTTTGCCACAGTTTGTGTTTTTTCGGGCGACGGCAGCTCCGGTGAGTGGAAGTGGGACGGGGGGGGCGCCCTCGGTACAGATCACTAAACCAGGTTCCACTAAACCCAGTTCTGCCAACGCCCGACTTATGTTTAAGTCGGGCCTGTTCCTCTACAGGGGGGATATTCAAAAATAGTCAAACAGTAGTCAGGGGACGATTTGTTGACAACTGTTGGCCAGTTGGGGGCATTTGTGGCGTATGTTTTATATTTTTCTGCCAAAACCCCTCCATGTGGGGGACATGCCCGACCTAACCTTATGTTTATGCAGGTTCTTTTCCCTTCTTAGGGAGCACCTCCGATTCACGCAAGTGGGGGCGTGCCCAGTTCAGGCCAAGAGAATATGATGCACATGCACCGATCCTGGCCGCGCCCACCCTTGGCCCATGATGGGTGTCTGTGCCTTCCTGGCCAAGGGAGGCGAGCACATGCACCGATCCTGAGCCGAGGGTGGGCCTGGCCAGAATCGCAGTATGTGCCTGGTGATTGTTTCCTTATTCCTTGTTCTGTCGATCGGCGCGGGCCCTCGCACGCCCCCTTTCCCCCCTATAGAGACCAGCTCTTGGCTGCTTCGGCACCCGTTTCAAGCAATGTTGGAGTTTCTCACCCACAGGACGCCCTGTTGCAGACCATCGCATTCAGCGAAGGTCCGCAGCCAGACCCCCCCCCCTCCGCCCACTGTCGAAACGCCGAGTGAGAGCACGCTCACCCAGTTCTCAGTCCGTCTGTCCGCTGGCGGCCTCCCGCTGCAGACCCTGCAGCTCGGAGCCTCCGGCGAGGCCCTGCGCACGTGCGCGGGGGCCCCCCACGCGCACTCGCGTGCGAGTGCGATGCCCGCCGATCTCTGCGGCCCGTGGCCGCACGAGCTCTCTCGCCGCCCTGGCCGCCCCGGTTCCTCCTCCCCGCGCCTGTGTCCCCTGCCCCTGTTCTCATCGCGGCTCTCTTTCTCTCCCACCCCCCACCCCCCTTCTCTGCCCGCCTTCGTGTCGTTAGGGGGCCACATGCGAACCCTACCCCTACCCCCCACGATTTCTGAGGGGGAGGGTGGGGTTCACTTCGTTCCGGAGCTCCCGAGCGAAGTGAACCCCACCCTCCCCCTCAGAAATCGTGGGGGGGTAGGGGTAGGGTTCGCATGTGGCCCTCTAGTCGTGCCTAGTTCGCTTCCCGAGTGTCCCTCCCGTCTCTTGCGCCCGCTGACCAACATTTGAGTTCCCTGCCTTCTACTCGTAGGGGGCCTCTTGGGGCGGAAGGCTCAATGTTGCACGTTTATTCGCAGGGGATATCAGGGGGCCGCGGTGTGTCAAGGCCACGGGGGCGGAGTCTGTGCTCGGGCCACGGGCCAGAGGCGTGCGCCTCGGTGCAGGTCGTCTCGGCGGCGGCGACTGCCTCCTTCCTGGCGGGGGCAGGCAGAGATCAAACGCATCAAGTCAAAACGGAGGTTTTTCAGCTTTCGGGACCACCAAAAAACGATTCAGGATGAAAAACCAGTCCTCTGGAATGGGTCGAGACTTCTGGGGACACCGTGTCGAACAAATCACGACATCGGATCTCTGGGTCGGTATGGCTTCTCGCACGGTTTGGTCGGTTCGACGTCCCTGGCAGGAGGAGGGGCGTCGTGACTTTCCTCCTATGTGAGATTCGCCGGTGGAGAGTGCGATGTCCTGTCGGATCTGTTCTCGTCGGGGTGAGGGGCCCCCGCTTACGCGACTCCGCCTCGGGTCGCAGGCGTGCTGGCTGGGTCGGGGCAAGCCTCCTTCGCCGCGCTCGTCCTCTTCTTCCTCTTCTCAATCTTCTTCCTCTTCCCCCTCTTCCCTCTGCCCCTCTTCTCCCTTCCTCTTCCCTCTTCCCCCTCTTCCCTCTTCTCCCTCCCTCTTCTCCCTCGTCCTTGTCTCCCTCTCCTCCCTCTCCCCGCCCTGGGGGGGAGGGGCCTGGCCAGGCAGGGGCGGTGCGACGCTTTGCGGGCCCGGATGCGGGGGGATAGGCGGCCTGGGGCGGCCAATTCAATTGGCGGAGGGGGTGGCGTCGGCGGGTGCGGTCTGCAGTGCGTCGTTGCGGCGGCAGTCGGGCACACGCAGAGGGGGGTCGGGGGAGGCGGGAAGGCTTCTTAGAAGCACCCCTGCTTCTCAGAAGGCGCTGCCCTTGTCAGTAGCCGTAGGGCCAGCGCCTTCTAAGGAGCAGCCTCCTTCTAGGAAGCCTTCCCCCTTCTCCTACCCCCCTGTGCGCGCCGCCACGGCAAGAATACTGAAGATCCCACGGGACGGGGAACAATGGGGGAGACAGGCTCAGGGGGGGCTGCATCGACCCCCAGTCGCCCACTCATCGCCGATAGTGGCCCGATAGGCCCACCCCGCCCGGGACCGTGCGGTCTCGCTGTCCGGGGCCTGTCGCCGATCTCTCGGCGATGTATCGCCGATTCCAGGTCGATGTCCCCACCCCCCTTTGAGCTGGTCCCCCCTGAGGCTCCTCAGGATGCGACTCCTGGGAGGTCAACTTCAGCATCAGCGCTGAGCGGTCTATCCGCTGATACTCCAGCTTGCTTCCGTGGAGTCCCGCGCGTTTCTGAAAAATCCTGCGTAAGCCTGGGCTTGATCTGGGCTGGCCGCGCTGAGTGCCCCCTGGATCGGGCGTAGGATCCCTCTCAGAAAGTCGCCTCCTGACGTTCCCCGCCAAGCTCGCGGCGCGCGCGCGACCCTGGCCCGAGGCCTCCGGCCCTGGGGCAGCCTCTCGGTCCCGCCCGCGTCCGCGGGTGCCAGGACCTCCCCCCAAGCAGGGCGGCAGCGGGCGAGGCGGGCGGGGGCGACGGTCGGGCAGCGCCAAGGGGACTCACCATTTGGGTGGGGGGGTCACCAGCCTCTCCTGGGTTGAGAACTCGAGAGTTTGTGGACGCTTTGGGCGTTCCAGGGTTGAAGCTCGAGGGTTTGTGGACGTTTTTGGGGGGGCGCTTTGGGGGGCTCGGATGAGTTCTGTGGGTCGCCACTTCCTCGAGGAGGCGGCGCGGACGTGGCGCTTCCTCGAGGCAGCCGCGAGCCCCCCCGTGGTGACCCCCCCTCTTGGAATCCGCGGAAGGCATCTTTTCACCACCACCGTGCCCGGCCAGGGCCATCTTGGTCCTACGATATATACATATGTGTATGTA